TTGAAAAATGTATTAAGATTTTATTTAAAAATTTACTAACTTGATATATGTGAAAATTAACTGTTAATCTAAAACTTAATATCATATTATTAATTGGCAAGCAAGTTGGGCTGTGGTTGAAAGTTATAATGATTGATTACTTTTTGCCCCATATATGAATTTACTTTAATTACCCTTAATGAAATTAACAAATTAATATAATCTACTTTTTAACTGATTTTTGTTTTTTTTTTAAATCTAGATTTCCAAATTCGAGTTTATATCATAAAAATATCCTGTTTACTAAAAAAAATAACTAGCATAAATAAATAAAAAATCTTAATTATTTCATTGAACTAATTTTAATTTGATTGTTCAATCTATTAATATTTTGACTAACCTAATTGATTTATGCGACCACAAGTAAAACCTTTAATCATTTAAACCCTTTTAAAACTCCATTTTGGATTGCTATATTTTGTTTTTTAATGCAAACTTTGAATTTTATTATTCTTAATCTACCAATTTACAGTAAAAGAAGAGAATTATTTATCATCTTTGATAAATGCAACAAAACAACAAAACATACATATAAATTTTTATCGGATAATATAGAAGATATTAAAAAATAAGATATAAATAATATATTTTGCTTTACAAAAAAACAATATACTCATGAAAATTGTATTTTTTTTTAAATATATTAAGTTTCGTTTCGAATCATTATAAAATCTAATTTTTTATCTATAAATAAACTAATGTTATACTTTTTAAAATTTTTAATTGAACCCCGCACAAGGTGCAGGGAAACACCTAGTTTCTATATAAACTCGTACAACAACTTTCAAAATATTATTAAAATTAATCTTATTTTAACTAAATTTGATATATAATTGAATTCAACAACTATAAGTTTTAAGTTCAAAAAAAAAAGAAAAAAAAATATAAGTTTTCTCTTTAATTAATTTAAAATGTTTTTTTCATTGTTTCATTTTAAATATAAAGAAAATAAATTATCAAACATATGACTACAATTGAAGCACCTGATTATTGTTCCAATTAATTTGGATTTGTTTGCATTTCAATTATGTACATGTAATTTGTTTTTTATTAGCAGTCTCAAATACAAAACAACAGTCAATATTTAAAACTCGTACAAATCTTTAAAAGAACGATTGTTCATATAAATGAAAAAAATATTTACATAATATACAAAATCACAATCATATTGATAAACTGCAATTTTGATTTGATCCCTAAAGCATCTGTAAACTATTGAATTTGTACATTTACATTTATCATGTACAAATAAAGTATCCTTAATATACAATATTAATCATATATTAAACATATAAAATATTTTGTGTATTTTTTTAAACAAATTATTTATCTGTTATGTATATACAATGTATGTTTGTGAAAGACGAATGTTTTAGATTTTTCTAAATTGTGAATATTTTCAATTTTATTTAAGAAATTACTATTTTGTAACTTTTTTATCTTAACTATTATGTAAGTTTTTTGTAAGCAATTTATTTTCTAAAATATTTCATGTGTATTTGAAAAAAATATAATGAGAGGTTTTTATTATTATGTGGACGAAATTCATATCTCATAATATTATATGTTATAGATTTTTAGCTTAAAAGTGTGATTATTATTAATTTAGACTGTAAGAATTTTAAATATTAAACATATACATAATTTTTCTTTTTGTTAAAATTAGGTTATATGGCATATATTTTTTGTTATTACAGTATATACAATTTAATCAATATTAAAGTATTACTATTATTGTTGAATAAATACTATTTAATTTTAAGCATATTATAAATATATTAAAGAATTATTATTATTAAGTCTGCTGATGTGGCAAGATTATAGAGAGTTTTTTTTTGTTGATGTGGATGGTTTGAGGAGCCCAAACTATTGCTTTCACTTAGTATAGATTTATGGAGAGAAAGAAAGAGGAATTTAATTAATTGGTAGATTAAAGAATAAAAAAGAGTTTTTACATACATTTATCATAGTGAATAGTGAAAGATGAGAGAACTAATTATGAGATTATTAGTTACCATTTATTGTTATTTCTCAATTAAAATTAATCCAAACTGAACTGAACTAGTTATTTCGCAACATATGTTAAAATTTTATCGATTTAAATCGCCATATGTCGAAATATTATTAATTACTAACTTTGACACATCCAGCTTTATATAAAAAGATAGCAAATGGCAAAGTTCGATGAGTTTTTTACCAGGGTCAATAACATATATACTAAATAATTGAATATTACAAATTATAATGTATCTAGTTTTTGATAAGTTTTATAAATTTTTTTTTTATTTGTGTGCCTGATTTTAAAAGTATATTGTAGTTAAATATTACTAGTATAATTAATAATTTGATTCAAACTAATAACACATATATATTCAAAATTATATGAAAATACCAAGTTATTAAAGAAAAAACAGCAGTCTTTTAAACTTTTTAGTTATGATTTACTAAACTCATGAGGAATAAACATATTTACAGCTTTTTTTATTTATTTTATTTTAACTATGAATCCAATTTTCATGATTAGATTTTTAATGGGAACTTAGGTTAAATTTAGAAGATTGAAGTAAAAAATTAATTGGTATAACGTGAATTTAGCTTTGGTTTATATTATAGGGGTCATCAAAAATATTTCAATGGGGTCAATGGTACAGCCACTGAGGATAGTTAATAATTAAGCACGAAAAATTAAAGAATCGATGTTACAGTTTCTAACATATAATATAGGACCTAATCTACTTTAATTATTGTCTAAGGTTTTATAAAATTGTCACTTACAAAAGCTCTGATTCAAGGACGAACCGATCGAAGGTTATTTTACAACCAGATTTAAAGACTTTACAACATAATTCTGTATCTGAGGTGGTGAAGGAGATGAAATTTGTTCTGCGGTTTTCTAGTAATAAAGGAGATTTGGAGACGGGAAACTTAAAGCCTCAAGGAAACCAAAAATAGATACAAACATATTAAAATTAAGCTGAGCAATTCCAATAGACAAAAAAATCACGTTTCGATCTGGTTGATGCCTTAAACCCGAAATAGAACCAAATTAAGCAAACCGATTGGGTTCGGTTTGGAACAAATGACCTAGGTACACCCGAACTCTAGTCGTATCTTCCTCTCCGATGGTTTGGTAACTTTTGTAGTCATATCTCTCAGTAAAATACAGAGCGATCATGGATTCAATACCTCTTGATCTCTTTCAGGAGATATTCTCTAGATTGCCTGTCAAGTCAATAGGGAGGTGTCGTTGTGTGTCGAAGCTATGAGAGTCCATACTTTGCCGTCAAGATTTCACCGAGTTGTTCTTGGCCAAGTCATCGGCTCGTCCTCGTCTCTTATTAGCCTTCGAAGGATGTCAAAACTTTGGCTGCCACTTCTTCTCGTCACCCCAGCCGCGTAGTCCATATGATGAGAAGTCGTCGTCTCTTGTTGTAGCCGCCGATTCTCAAATGAAGCTCCCTGGAGATTTTTGTGGCTATACCTCTGGTTTGATCTGTTTCTGTCGTACGTTTGTCAATAGGATCCCAAAAGACTACGAGAATAAAGTTCATGTGATATGTAACCCTAGCACAGGACAGCGTACGAGCTTACCTGTATTGAGAAAGGTCAGAGATTCGCGTAGCTTTTTAGGGTTTGATCCCATTGATAAGCAGTTCAAGGTATTAGCCATAGCTCGCAATGGTCACAAAATCCTGACGTTAGAAACTGGAGAAATGGGTTGGAGGAATATTCAATGCCCTTTAACCCATCATCCTTGGCTTTCGTTCTCTGGAATATGCATCAATGGAGTTTTGTATTACTTGGTGCAATTTGCTGAGTCGAAGGATGTGAAGATAGCTTGCTTTGATGTCAGGTTTGAGAAATTTATCAGGTTTATTGACGCAGGATTCACTAATGATGGGCGTTGTAAATTGGTATGCAATAAGGGTAAACTAGGTGTGACCACATGGAAATTTAATTCTGAAAGTGATACCTTTAAGCTGTGGGTGCAGGTTCTAGAGGATTTAGAGAAACAAGAATGGTCGGAATATGCCTACACTCTGCCGATAAATGAACTCGCCTACCGCAATGTTGACCTTGTTGGAGTAACAGCTACAGGTGAAATTGTTTTCTCGGATAGCTATATATGTAAACCCTTTTATGTGTTCTACCTCAATCTCGAAAGGAAAGCTATCCAAAGAGTTGAAATCCAAGGTAACCATCAAGAACTATTTAGCATTAATTATTACCATAGAGCTTACGTTTTTGTAGACCATGTAGATGATCTTAGGTTTAATATTAGAAAGAAAGACGACCCCCCAGAACGGAAGACTAAACCCGCGAGCACACCAGCATCAACATCTTCTAAAGCTCAGCTGCAACGAGATTGTCTTAGGTTTGGGGGCATAAACAAATTTGATGCTCTGTGTCTTTCAGATGATGATTAATTTACAGGTATCAAAACTTGGTTGCTTCCTTTGCTCCCCCAAACTCTATTTAATCAGTTTGTTATCTTAATAAGAAATTCTTTAAGAACGTAAGTTTTTATATACATATGCTGGATGAAGTTGTCTTTCATTATATTCGTAACATAGAGTCACTCATTTACTGGTTTTACGTGGGTTTTATCATCACTCTGTTGGCTCACTGTTATATGAATTCAACCCCGATTGGTCTAGAGAATGTCAGTGAATTAATCTCGGTTTCCTATCAGTTTAATATCGGTTTTGATGACTTAATATCCATTTTCAAAGGGAATTTGTACTGCCGAGTGCCGATTCAATTGGAATTTGTATTTCCAAAGTTCCTACCATGATGACATGGGGAAGCTCAAAAGGGTTTGATCCCTGAAGTCATCATTATGTTCATTTATGTTTTGATATTAAACCTCTTGAGATTCACTTGCAAACCGCTGCGTCTTTCAATATATAGAGGGCAAATATTTGTGAGATTCTAAAATTCTCACTTTTTTTCTCTCTTCAATGGCTGAAAATGCAAACTTTAGCTCGAGACTTCTCATTGACGAGAAGAGAAACAAAGTTGTGTTGGCTGAAGCATGTCAAGATTTCGTTGATGTGCTCTACGGTCTTTTGACATTCCCAATAAGGACTATTGCAAGGTTGCTGGAGAAGCATCAGAAGCTACCTCAGGTCCTAGGTCGTTACAAGAATCTCAACGCAAGTGTTAAAGATATGGTCGCTGATGATTTCCAGACCGAGGCTTGCAAAGTATGTTGATGCATCCCAAGAGTACGAAGGAGATACATTGCAGAAGGTTGAAGCTGAACATAGGTGATACTGAAGCCACAAAGTTTTTTGTATGCTCAAACATGTGTAAGTGCAAGGCTTACAGCAATTTTAACACCACAAGGTGTAGTTGCGGACTTATGATGGCCACTCAGGTTCAGGTTCCAGAAAAAGAGCAAAGTGTAGATTCATTACGAGATAGAGTATTTGTCAACTGTAGATCCTCTTTCATTATCACTGATGATTTGAAAGTGATGTTGAACTCTATTGATGACATTGTCAAAGTGGATATTCTTGTCTAAGCGATTTGCGGGAAACGCTTCTTGATGTTGGTATCAAGAGGTGTGTATTTGTGATGTTCCTGAAAGGAATACTTTCCAAAAGAGTTGAAATCAAAGGTAAACTGCTTGGCATTAATTATAACCAAAGAGTTCACGTCTTTCTACACCATGTAGAGGATTTTAGAGCATCATTTTTATGAAAGGTTCTCAACATAAAAAAACAAAAAATAATCAAAATAGAAAAAAAAAAAAGAGTAAAGAAAGGTTCTCATTTGTAGCAATGATTGAGAACCTTATCTCACACATGTCATGTAAATATTTGTTTTTTTTTGGGTCGAAATTTCATTACCAAAATGAGATACACAGTGAAAAGGATAGAATACAAGATGGAATATTAAGGTGAAAATCAAACCCTATAACAAAGGGACAAATAAGATATATAGGATGAAGATCACGGTAGAAAACAACCACTACTCAAAGGCAAGCCACTCTCGAAAACACCGGGAAGAACAAAGAAGATCAAGAAGGGCGGCACTACAAAGCCCACAAGCCGCAGCAAAGAGGAACAACGCAAGAGACGGATGAAATCCCAGGATAGGAGAAACCGCAAAGAAATAGCCCAAATACAATGGTTAGCCTAAAATTAAGGAACAAGGAACGAGAATCTAACTCCTACACTCCTAATCTTCAACCCAAAAAATCTAAATCTAGGACTTTGCATCCTCACAAGAGGTTAGCCTTACAAGAACAGATCTATGAAAAGACTGACCGAAGAAGGAGACTATCAACATAGATTCAACGAACTATAACAAAGAGGCTAACCGAATACTATCCTATACCAAACAACACGACTTGCCGACACAACCCGGAAATTAAAAAGAGCACAACCGACCTTCAAAATAGCAGCAGAAAACTTACGCTAACAACAAATCTGCACTTACAAGAGACTAAAACAGAACACAAACTACAGAGACAATACGACAACACCACCAGGGAGAAGAAGCTCTAAACAAGGGAGGAAGAGACCAAAGGAAAGGAAGACGGGGCTATAACCCTGGAACACCAAAGCCGAAAGGAACAACAAGCAGAACCTTTCAGAACACCACAACCTCCAGAGAGAAGACACGCTGACAAGCCATTGGAACAAACAGATGACCAAACAAGAAGCAGATAGAGACCTGAAGCCAAACCCTAAGGCCAGAAAAGCATATCTGAGAAATCCACCACAGCGCAAAAGCCAACAAATGGAATAAAACCCAAGCGACGGTTTGAACCACCACAATCAACATCTCGCCAAGGAGACCCAATGCCGAGAGAAGAAACACCATCCACCATGCCCAAATCATTCAAAGATGAAACAGACTGAAACCCAGGTGAAATCCATAAACAACAGTCTAAGTCATATAAATATTGGTTAAAGTTCATTTTTTCAATTGAAATTTAATTATAAAATTTAATTGTACTAAAAAGTAATTTTTTTGTTTAAGACCATAATAGTCTTAGGTTCAATATTAGGAAGAAAGGCTCCCAAAACAGATGCCTAAACATACGAGCACATTAACATCATCTTCTAAAACTCAGCTGCAACAAGATTACTAACAAATTTGATACTTTGTGTGACACCCGCCTCTTTTAAACCACGACGGCATGTTAAAGTACATTAACTTTCACCATAAGAAACCACTTGGTAGTTCAATGTCATTTTTATTCCCAAGGATCGTATTCAAAACGTCTTACAAAAATTTTTTAACTTAAACAATAAATCTGAATTTAAATTACGTCTTAAAAATAAATAACGAATAATAAAATAAAACTCATGTCTTCCCAAAACCATCACCAAGCCACAAGACTACTCCTGAATGTTTACGCGCTCACTTGCAGAGGAAAGAGGGATGAGTATTCCAACAATACTTAGTGAGGGCGGGTCCTAGGGACCCACGATATACATCTCGCACATGCACAACCGTTCCAGACGAAAGTCCTAAGCTAATACACACAAGCATACACGTCCGAAGACACTCATAGACCAAGAAATGACATCACTAGACCTAATTGGTGCATCTACGCCTTCATTGGCGCATACTCCGTGGCATATAGCGGCCCACACGCTGTCCGTCCTCAAGACGCAGGGCTCGTCAAACCGCCAACGATGGATTATGGAGTCCCACACGCCTCTATATCTAAACCATACATATCAAAAGAGGTTCCTACATCTAATCCCAAACCGCAAATGATTTTCCCCACGTAATGCAAACAGCCACAAAAACTATTCATACATCAATCAACAGTATTCCGTTTAACAACATATGATCTTAAGTTCATTAATCAACAACCGCATGACAATAATAATTACTATAGTGTTATATAGCGCTAATAGTCAGGTTCAATCAACAATCAAATACGTGTATTCATATAGATACAACGGAGGTATGCGCGGATTAACAAAATACTACTCAGTATGAAACAACTATGAATCTGAGAGAGATAGATCACGCCAGTCCTCACCTTAGTCTCAGATCGGAAGTGGAAAACAGAAATGAAAGGATATTTGGTTACTGCGGGTTCTCGCTGAACGGATCTGGGCATCACGACAACATGGGTCCGATCCCACAGCAAATAGAAAAGAATATCAGAAAATAACAGATTAAAAAAATAGATCCGGGAAGGTAGATCTAGATCTGAAAACAGAAAAGGCTCAGATTTACTCACCAAGGCGTTTAATGAGAGAAACAACCACATATTCGAGAAGAGGGCGCGAAAGAGAATGTTTCCGATGATTGGCGATTTTCCGGCGATGGCAGACGGCGGCTCCGGTGACTTTTCCTGCGACAACAGCAGTGACTCCGGCGGTAACTCCGGCTACGGCGACGGCGACAGTGGCTCCAGCGGTAACTCCAGCGACGGCGGCGTCAGCTCCGACGACAGCGGTGGCAGCTCCGGCGACAACTCCGGCGACGGCGGTGGCAGCTCCGACGACAACTCCAGTGGCAGCTCAGGTGAGAGATTCCGGCGGAAACAGAGCAGAGCTTCGCTGGAAAATTTTCTGTGCAAAAACTGAAGGGAGAGCTCTGCTTTTATAAGAAAAGAGAGGAAAACCCTAGGTCAAACTCGGATTGGGCCTGGACTAAATGTGCTTTTATCCAGAAATTAGTTTTCTGCACCAAAAATCATATGGACTTGGGCCCAGGATGTCACAACTCTCCCCCACTTACCGGGAATTCGTCCCCAAATTCAAGTCGACATCCCGTACAACACCAACGACCCCAAGAGCTTCAGATAACAAGCCCGCATCACAGCCTTAGACTCCCAAAAATTCTTCCTGGATTCCATCCCCTTGTCGAACAAACACGAACCAACTTGGTCTTCTGACTCTTGACGATTTAAGATTCTCACCGACTTACTCATAACAGTAAAATTTCGGCCCATATCAATTGGCGGCACAACTAAGATCAGCCCTGGTTTCCAATCCATAACCCTCAAAACTTACCCATGAAACCCATCATGAAAGTTTGATAACTTGCGTGGTAAGACCAACCTATGGTCTTATACAGCCCCATGAACCTTGGCCTCGACTTTCCCAGCTTATGGTTCCTCGGATCGCTCTCATCCTAAAATACACGGCATCACCCACTGCGAAATCTAAATCCTTCCATAGAACTTTCATGACGATCGACACTCGGACAATTGTCCATTCCCAGAATGACTTCGTAATGGCCTAACTCCATTTTCTCAAGATTTCTGCATAACTTCACGCCTTCCAGCATCATGAGCACTTCTTCGTAAACTTCGGTGGATTATATAAGCTCAACTCTGATAGTCTCGATCTCCTTCGTCCTCAAGACAAACCACACCTTGGAAAGTCCAGCACTTTGCCAGTGCCGAACACACAAAGCTATTCATAGCTCCTGTGTCAAACAATTTATGGGTGGCGGTTCCCAGACCAAAACCGATCCCACACGGTTTGTACTACACCAAGCATGTTATTCAAATTTCACGCAAGACTCTCTAGACTGAACACAAAAGTCTATAAGGAATGACATATCCGCGTTTGGTTCCACACCACCGTGTTCTCCCGCGACATAAACTCGAGGTCTTCCCGGCTGTCCTGTTGGTGGTGCTGGCAACTGAAGTTGTCCCTGATTCTGACCTCCTAGCTGTTGCCCTTAAAGAGGAACCATACACTGCCTCACAAAGTGTCTGATCTGCCCACAACGATGACACGTGCTCCTCAATGGTTGGACCTCTCTCAGCGGAAGGCCTGCTGTACAATCCCTCTTCACATGCCCCGGTTGATGTCACCTGTAGCAAATGACGTTCCTATGAGCCACTCCTTGTGCTGGTGTCGAGTTAGCGGTCTCCCAATTCCTCTTATGACTCTCAGATCCTTTCCCACTCTTGGCTTGAGCATGCTTAGACAATTTGAGTTTTTCCTGCAACCCAATTTCATGCTCCGCAGCGGTTTTCACCAGGTCCACCATGCTGACATACTTCCTGACAGAACAACAGTTTTTGAGATCGACTCTCAATCCCTTCATGAACTTACGAATCAGCTCTGCCTCGCCCAATCATCTGGTTGTAAACCTTCTCAGACAGTTGAATTCCTCTTTATATTTCTGGACAGTTCGGTGATCCTGATGAAGCTCGTCAAAAGCACTCTCCATCCTATCCAAGGCCTCTGGCGAAAAGTACTCCTGAGTGAACTCCTCTTTG